GTGTTAATCCCTCCACAGGCTGTAATACGTCTCCTACTCTCCATGGGGGACCATCTTGGCATGCACCTTGTCTGTATCTTCTCTCTCCTCTCTCCTGAGCCTGGCCATCCATTCTGACCGTCACACTGCCATCTCATCTGGACTTGTGTGTTGAAAAGTCTTGACACAGCAGACTTGGCTTGTTCAAACTGTGACACTGCCAGACAAAGGTCTGTCTCCACTTCTGCCTGTGTTCACCTCCTGGGAGATGACCTCTGGCCCCCCGTGGCCAGAGCCCTGATAAAGAGTTAAATTTCTGTTACCCGTTATACCTGAAAAAGATGGAGGCAGTCATCCACAGAGGTAAACATGTTTAGAAGAAAATTTTTAAAATATACTGAGGTCAAAAGAACTAAGTATTACACCTAATGAGTGAAGCAAGGGCAGACACATGTGTTTGAAATGAGAAAAACTTTTAGTAAACACATTAAAAAATAATGATTTTTGCATTTTCTTGATGTTCACTGACACTATCTAAAAGTTTCTCTCAAGTGTGTAATTAAAAAGTTAACCACAGAAGTTCAAATATTAATTTAACCATAGATATTGCCACTTTTGTAATTAATAAGGAAATTGTGAATGTTGCAAGACAGTCCCATCTTCTGTACCCTCCTCTTCCTCACTTGTTCACAGAGTAAAACACTGACCTGAAATGTGAGCTTTCCCCAGACCAAAGTCTTTGGTGGATGGAAAGGCAGCTGGAAAAGCCTCCAGGGTCACCACATGCGTGGTTCAGAGAAACGGCCAGGGTGCTCCATCTCCACGATTCTGTACCAGGACATCTTTCGTTTGATTTGAAATGATCAACGGAGAAATTTCTTTAGAAACTCCATCTCCCATCCACGTGTAATAAATCATTACTCTTCCCAGAAGAACTGAAGGGGTTAATAACACCGTAGGACTCCTGAAGCTTCAAGTGCCTTTCTATTTTTATTGTCGTCTAAGTTTTGATCTAAACAGGAAACTGTACAAACTACTCTCACGGGTGTAATTAACATCCTGGAATGTGAAATCCAGTTGATTCTCTTCATATCTCATTCCACACATCCTCTTCATAGACTCCAGGGGGCACTCAGGCCCCACAGAGCGCTGGGTTCAGCCCCAGGAGCAGGTGCAGATGGAGGCGAAGAGCTGGGTTCCTGAAGTGTCAGGGCTTCCTCTAATGGTTTCCTCAGGAGCCTCTCTAGATTCACGGTGACATCTCTGAATTAGGAAACTTTTGTTTTTGTTTTTGTTTTCTACCAGGAGGACACATTCTCATGTGCACCAAATGCAGCGTCAATTCTGGAGGAGGAAATGGCTCTGCCCATGGTCAGCAGGGTCAGAGATCTGGGAAGGTTCAGAGTGACCTGGTGCATCTTTTCCAGTCAGATGCAGGCAGAGACCTCGGTGGGATTCCCTATTTGGAGATTCTTTGGGATTCATATTGAAAACCAGTAGGGAGGCTAGACCAGGCTCAATGACCTATAAAACACAATGGAGTTTATATTTGGCTCGCCTCCTCGGGAAGAAAGAAAAAGAAGTGTGCATGTCAGACTCACAACTGATCAGACCATCCCTTCTTCTGAACATCCATTTCCTTCCCCACTGGTCTTTGTCATCACATCTCCCTTTGCTCCTGTTTCTCCCTGAAAATAGACGATGTGGTGTCTGTGGGATAAATCCAAGGGCTCAGATCCTTTACCTGGAGCTCAACTGTGGCTCAGGCTGTGTCTCCTGCAGGTACTTGAGGAAGGTGGACAAGACTTTCTCACTCACCATTGACTTAGACGCTCCCCCGTCCTCCATGTATGGACACATTTGGGAAATGCAAATGGACATAAGTAGCTGGGTAATAGTGTTTGTTTGGTCAAAGTGGGATATGTATGTAGATCTGACGCCTTTTTCTGCTCAAACTCTCATGGAATCACCTCCCTAACCTGTGAGTTTTGGGAGGGCTGCTGATGGATGTACCAGTTTTCTGTGAGTTCAGGCGATGGTGTCCACATCTTTCTGAGCTGTGTCCTGTAGCTCCAGCATGACGACGCAGGACCCTTGAGCTGACTCATTGCTCCATGAAGTGACTGCCCCAGACGACCATTTGTCCACAAGCTCCCGGCTGCTCACTCCACTGCTCTCCCTGAGTCTCTTGTGTTGTGTTTTCCATTTTATTTTTCCAAAAGAGCAATGCCAACCGTTTTTTCTTCTTGTCCATCACGCTCAGTAGGGAATAACTTCTGTTTCATGAACAAAGATTTTAATCTGAACCACATGAAGCTTATAAAATATTTGTACCAAAAATATAGTATCCCCCCTGGGGGATTTTGCTGGAACACAAGAAAAATGGTTCAGCACATTGATGCATTTCCTTCCTTGAGAAATTCCTGAGCAGGCACTTGTGCGTCATCATTTCTAGTAGGAAATACTGAATTGATTGCTTGTGTCGCTCTGCTCTCTCCCATGGGCTCTGCAGGGGAAGCTTTTCAGAAACTGCTGTTCAAGGTCGATGACACCTCTCTGAGGATCCTGGGGTATGGTGCACAGGAGACAACGACTGCGTGGACAAGCTTGAATGCTGCTCTTTCAAAATCTTTGTTTTGATAGTTCATATGTTTTTTTTTATTTCTTCAAAATTTCTACATAAGAAAAACACATTTTATTTACATAAATCCCCTGCCCAATTCATGTATAACCAATAAATATAACATAAAACGTTAATAAAAGGTAGGATAAACGTTATATGATCATCTCAATAGATGTGAAAAAATCTTTTGATAGAATAGAAAATCCTTTCATGATAAAAACCCTCAACATATTTTGTAGAAAAGGAACATATTTCAACACAATAAGGGCCATATATGACAAGCCCACAGTTAACATCATACGCAATGGTGAAAGCTTAAAACTTTGTGTTCTAAGATCAGAAACGAGACAAGCCAATAATCCCATCCTAAGAGTTGCTTCCCTGAGCCCTGAATCAACATAATCAATCCTTGAGGAGAGATACATGACTCATTCTAACACATAGAGTTAGCCCTTGATGGATCCACATGGCCATGGTTCTCTGTGAAGATGGTCCCAAACTCCCTAAATCAAAAGGATGTTTTAGGGACATCACTGTGACCCTAAATGCCAACTAGTTTTGAGACTCCCAATTTAGATCAGCTATAAATCCATAGCAGAGGCTCTCCAGGACTCAACAATGACACAGAGCTCAGCATGACTCAACACACAAGTTAGCCAACAATCAGGGGCTCAAATTGTATGCTTCCTATGAGGCTGCAGAACGAGAGCATATTTCCAAGCCAGAGAAGATAGAAATCTGGTGTCCTGGTCACTGTATCAGCAACCTGCTCACAGAACCACTCACTGTGGCATCTGAAGGCAGGAAGGTTCTGACGTCCAGTGTGACGGTGGCTGGGCACAGAAACACACACACACACACACACACACACAGATGCACACTCATGCACATGCACAGCATAATATCTTCAATGCTCATCCAGCCTGTAACATGTGGTGGGATTCCTTTTTAATGCTGTATAATATTTCATGGCATGTTTGTACCACATTTTGTTTATCCTTTCATCCATCAATGGACACTTAAGTTGCTTCTGCCTATTGACTATTGTGAATAAGGCTGCTATAAATGAGTGTCCAAATAGCTCTTTGTGATCCTGTTTTCAATTCCTTTGGGAATATACCAAGAAATGGGATGGCTGGATCATATGGTAGTTCTATTTTTTTAATTTTTGAGGAAACTCCGTACTGTTTTTCACAGCAGCTGTGATTTTACATTCCCACCAGCAGTGTAGGAGGGTTTCGATTTCTCCATATCCTTGCACGCACTGGTTATCAGCCATCCCATGGGGTGTGACGTGGCATCTCATTAGGGTTCTGACTTGCATTTTCTAAATGATTAGTGATGTTAACATTCTCTTCAGGGCTGCTCGGCCATTTGTATATCAGCTTTGGATAAATGTCTATTCTGTTTCTTCAACCACTTTTTAGTTGAGTTATTATGATTACATATGGAATCTCCAGTGCAGGTTTGGGGTGAGACTGGGCCAGTACTGGTCCTCAGCCGGCTGTTCCTCTCTGCTCACCACGACTCAGGAGAGGCTCTGGGAAGCTGGTGTGGAGGACCACAGGGGAGCATCCTGCTGATAGAAAGTTCAATCCCAGCCTGTGTGTCACAGAGCTTACTGGGCACCAGGACAAGGCCATACACGTGGACTATTCCTGTGGGAATGCACACACGGTGTGGATACACTCAGCATCATGCACTTGTTTACACAGTAAATAATGCCTGGGGATTGACCCTCCCTTATTTTAATAATCCCATCCTTCTCTATCCTAATCAATGGGAAGCCAGCACAGAACTCTCAGGAAGAGGCTTCTGCTCTCCCCCAGGCACACACCTCTGTCTCTGGAAGGCAGGAGGATCTCTGTCTGTCTAGCTCTCTACTTCCACTGCTCTAGGACTAGAACCACAGGTCTTTGGATGAGTGTCCAAGGAGAGGACACTGTCTCTTGGAACATGGGCCTCCTAGCCTTGATTCTATCCATACCAAAGGACACTTCTGAGCACTGTGTGTCCAACCATCCCCAGACCTGAAGTTGAGGGGTGCCCCCATGGAGAACAGACATGGAATCTCACAGCTAAGGGCTCACCACTTCTCCAGCACGGATTTGCTCCCATGCTGCAGAGACCTGAGTCCCCCATATGCGTTAGCGTCATGAGAGGGGGATGCAAATCTCCCCCAGCTCCACCCTCTCCAGGGTTGAAAAGCTGAGCACTGGACCAGGGGCAGCGAATCCTGTGCCCCATGATGGACACACTGTATCCCACCCTCCTGCTGCTGACCATCCCTTCCTGTGAGTGCTCTCATCAGAGACTCGCTCAGGGACGAAAAGACTCCTGTTCTCATTATGAACCAGCTTCACCTTCTTCTGCTCTCTCCACAGGGGCTCTGTCCCAGATCAGCCTGCAGGAGTCTGGTCCTGGGCTGCTGAAGCCCACCCAGACCCTTACGCTGACCTGCTCCTTCTCTGGGTTCTCACTGACTACTTCTGATATTGGTGTTGGTTGGATGCGTCAACCCCCTGGGAAGGCACTGGAGTGGCTCACCTATGTTTGGTGGACTGATGAAAAGCATTACAACCCATCTCTGAAGAGCCGGCTCACAATCTCCAAGGACACCTCCAAAAACCAGGTGATGCTGACAATGACCAGTTTGGACCCTCCAGACACAGCCACATATTACTGTGTAAAGAGGGCACAGAGATACATTCCAGGGGCCTCCTGTACAAAAACCCTGTCTGGGTCTCACCAGGGCCCCCACTCTGCAGAACAGGAAACTGTGGGGAGATGGCATTTCCTGCCATGCTCTGGGGTTTTCTCTTACAGTGAGGAGCCTGGGAGCCTTGTCTTCCTTTCTCCTGTCTACTCAGAAGACTCATGTCCCCTTATCCTTTGTTTATAAGCTATATGTTGCACAAATATGGAACACAAGTTCAGTTACGTAACACAGGTTGATCATTCACATAAGGCAGCCTGTTTCATGGGCTCATATGTCTCAAGGAGGCAGAATACAAACAAGCACAATGTACGTCTTTGTTAAAATGCTGGATATCAAGTTGGAGAAGCATTAGCAGATAAGAAAGCATGAATTACTGAAATACAGACACCAGATTTTCTTATGATGAAGAACAAAATGTAATCTAAAAGGAGAACAGATTAAGTGATTTTACGAGAGGCTAAAACAGACGGACTGTGTTCCCATCCTGGAGTGTCTGGCTGCGGCAGTGCACAAAAGGAATTTTCAGGGATTTCACCTGGGACATTTGATTAATAGTTCTTGCTTCCAGGATAGAATTTTGTGCCCAGAGAGCCCATAAGATCCCAAGATAATTCATAAACCCAATGGCGGAAAGGAAAATGCCTAAGCCTGACACGAGAAGCACATGTATTCAATCTACAGGCAACTTAGTGGAAAAGATACAGCAAAACAGCATTCAACTTAAAGTCTGAGAATTAAAACAGAATTATCCACGTCTTATGAAAATCACACCACGGAAAAGAATCACCATAGTCCATAAATTAAATAAACAAATAAACAGAAAAACCACTGAGTTAACAGATCAGTGAGTAAACAGGTCAGCACAGTGAGAGATCAAAAAAAGCAAGGCCTTTGGGTAGATTGTAAATCACAGAATTATCCACTGACAGCCAATCATCATGAAAATGAAAAGTCATATTTGAAAGAGCAAGATCCATAAAAGAAAATAAAATCATAAAGTAGATCCATCAAAATTAAAAACTATTTTCTGCCTCAGTGAGTGTCAAGATAATGAAAGACAAGCTGCAGACTAGGAGAAAATATTTGCTGATCTCATAACCACATTAGGAGTTGCATCCGGAACACAATAAGAATGCTCATACCTCAAAAGAAAGAATGGAACAATGCTTTAGAAACCGGCAGAGACTTGTATACCTTGCATCAAAGAAGCCACAGAGATGGTAAAGAAGCACAGGAGAAGAAGACACTCAATATCGCTGGTCTTCAGGGAAATCAAATCAAGACCACAGTGAGGCACCCTGCACACTCATCACCATAAAATCGCTGGTACTGACTGTACGACTCCTGTGAGCACACAGAGCTCCTGGGCCTCCAATGTTGCGAGCAGGAATGGAAAATGTGATGGCCCTTCTGGAAAGTCATTTCACAGTTTCTCATGAAAGTAAACATGCACTGAGCTCATGACCTAGATTTCCCGCTCCTGCGTGTTTGCTCCAGAGGGATGAAATCATTGTTCACAAAATCTGTATGCACATATTCATAGCAACGTCATGTGTGTTAGAAGCTGGGGATGCCTCTGAAGTCTTTCAAAATTTAAATGAATAAGCAAAGTAGAGAACATCCATTAACGTAAAACTAGTCAGCAATAAAAAACAACAGACTATTGGTCTCCACAACAACACAGGTGGACCTCAGAGGCATTGTGCCGAGTGAAGGAAGCCAGTCTCAAAGATTACACACGGCATTCACACAGCACCTGGGTCCACAGTGGCTTGGTTGCCTCTTTCTCTGCATGCCCAGGTGAAGAGCTGCCCTGTTTGCAGGCTGAATATTCTCTTACTTTCAACAATTCCCTCAGGCATGGATTACCCCACAGACTGAAACAAAGTCAGTCTCCTTTGAAGGATGGTTTCTAGGATCAGCATTTGGTATCTGTCCTGACAGTAGCTGTTTCCTCCATCTCTCTCCATCCGTGGCTCTCTCCTGTAAACCAGCGGGAGGACAGTGCAGACGGCACCTCCACTGAATCCATCCGTCTCCTGCAGCGCCTTTCACTGCAACCATAGATATGGAAGTTCTTCACATGTTGCTGAAAATCAATTCTATTTTCAATTCCTCACACAAGTGGAATCATACAATGTAGACCCTTCTGTGATGCCTTATTTCTCTTAATATGATGTCCTCTAGATTCTTCCTGAGGGAGGATAAGGCAGAATTTTCTTCTTTTTTAGGACTGAATCCTATTTCATTTTAATGAAGTTAAACATTCTTTTGTCCATTCCTCCTTTGAAGGAACTTTAGGCTGTTTTCATATCTTGACTTCGAGAATAATGCTGCAATGAACAGGGGAGTGAAAATATCATGTTGACTTCCTGATTTTCACTCTTTAGATGAAAACCTAGAAGTTCAAATGCTCTATAATATGGTGCTTCTATGTTTAAGTTTTTGAGGAACCACCATGCTGTTGTTCAGAGTAGATACACCATTTTACATTCGCACCAGCAGTGGATAAGTGTTCCCTTTTTGCCAAACTCCCACCAACACTTGATAACTCTTATCTTTCTTTTTTGTTTTGTCTCATAGCAGCCATCCTAACAGGTGTGAGGTGACATCTCGCTGTGGTTTAGATGGGCTTTTCTGTGATGATTGGTGGTGTGGCTCAGCTGTGCCATCTACTTATAAGCCTGTGGAGGTGTAACTCATGTCTTTTACTGTCTTGTTCCATTTCCACTGGATTCTTTAGTTTCCATGTCTCAGCTGTAGCTGCCTTTCTGCTCTGTTGTCTCTCTTCCTTTTCCTTTAGAGCTTTTAACATTCTAATCAGAGTTACTCTGAATTCACTGTTTAATTTAATGAATCTCCGTGTCTGTGGCACATATGAATGCCACTTTGAAAATATGTTCCTTAAGACGCTTGTCTTGCTCTCTGGTGGCCCTCATGACTTTTGTTGCATCTCAACATGTTGGAAAGACAGTAGCTAGAGGTATATTATTGTAACATACCATGTGCTGTTATAGTATTTTCATCATTAGTTCATTATCTTTGTGAGAGATGCTCTCACTCTCCCTCCTGCCAGGCCATCACTGAGCGTGTCTCTGTCAACCTAGTCAGGGCTGCTTTGTTACATGGTGATCCCTCTTGTAGCTGGATTCTGCTCTTGTCAACAAACAATTCAAATTCATCCAGCAATTCCTTGTTCATTTTTCCTGGTGGGCATGGACTCCACATCTTGTGTTCTCACCAGAGAGCATCTGTCTGCTTCTGCCCTCCCAGCTGTACCCTGTCCTTGTGTTTACACAATGGCTGTTAGTGTGGTGTCCGGGCAGGGTAGGGGTCCTTCTCCGTCCTTCTGACTCAGCCTTGTTCTTAGGAGGGGTTAGAAACCACTCTGGGCTGAGTCCTTCCATGAGGTCCTGATCCTCCTCCAGGAGGCAGGCAGGCACTGGCACGGGTTCCTGCTCCCGCCATGACAGACTGCCTTTTTCCCAGCTGATCTCTCCCCATCACACACTTGTTTTCCACCAGTGTCCTAGCTGCCCGTTTTGCTGCCCTTCCCTGCATGTGAGCACATTTCTCTCTAGTGGGGCCAGGGGAGGTGGGTGGGGGCACAGGCAGGCGGTGCACGCTGCTCTTCTTCCACAGGGGCACCACCTCAGGAGGGATGGGGAGCTTGTGTCTCCTCCCCAGTCCTGGAGGATCCGGCAGGAGGGGAGGAATCCCCCTAATCATGTGACCTGGTGGGTTCACCCTCTGAAGCTTAAGCCCACTGGGTTTGTTTTCACTTGATTAAATATTTCTAATTTAATGTCTTCTCTTGAGGTACAATGACATAAAACGCTACATTACTTTTGGTGTAAAACACGATGCTTCGATATTTGTATTTATCTTGAAATGATCACAACAATAAGTCTAGTTAGCCTCTGTGACCCTACAAGTTACAAACTTTTTGCTTGTGATGGGAACCTTTAAGGTCTGCTCCTCAGCAACTTTCATTATACGATGTGTTATTATTAATTATAGTCACCATGCTGTGCATTACATCCCCATGACCTATTTACTGTATTTTACTTTAATGTTAATCTTCTTGGGAACTCGTCTGCCATCTGGAGGTCACTAACTTTGTCTGTCTAATGCTTGGTTCCCTTTCTTGCCACAAGCACCTGAATCTCCAGATTTCAGCTTTGCAGTTTTCCCTGTGATTTCAATTATCTGATATGTCCAGCTTTATGGTTATCAATGTTGTGTTTGTTTAAGAAATAAGAACATATTCTCACCTCTCTACATGTACACACTGAGTAGACGCTTTCTTTGTAATAACCAGGAGCTGAGAACCATCCAAACATCTATCACAGGTGAACAGAAGAAAAACTTCAGTCACATCCATACATTGAAAAAAGACTCACCATTAAATATGTGTGATCCTAATTCACACAACATGACCCATTCCCGATAATGAGGCTGAGAAGATGAACAATTAGAGTACATATCACAGGACAGCATTGGTATAAACCCTAGAAGATGGAACCTAGTGTGAAGAAGCCTAAAGAAGATCAGGTGTTGCCTCAAACAGGTTGAGAGGAGGGATGGAGAGGGAGGAGAAATGGCAGAGAAACAGCAGCAGCCGTGGGCTGAAGACTTTGGGCAGCATTTTGATTGTGCTGAGGGTTGACAGGTGCATACACACCAGTGTTTATCAAATGAGAATGTTAAATATGTGCAGTTTATCATAGTTTATTTATATCACAATAAAGCTGCTACAGTAAAAAATGCGTATATTTATATAAAAGATAGTTAAAGACAGAGGTAACACTCCTTGAAATTTCAGACTGCGGAAAATACAGTGCATGAACCCCAGTTGTGTTTAAATTCCCTAAGCGAACACTAGAATGCTGACAATCTCATCATGTCCTCACTACAAGAAGGGAGCTCTGTAAACCTCACTAGGCACGCCCAACTCCATCCTGGAAGTGGTTTAGGGGAGAAATGATGTCCAGGGGTGAGGAGCACAGGCCCAGGCCCTGGGGCATATCATTTCCATAGGGGTGCTGGACACACACAAATGCCCTCTGTGTTTCTGTGTGCAGTTTTGTATCTGCAGAGGAGGGTGACCTTGATACTGCATTGCGGGATGTATGTGCATGAGTAAAAGTTGAATCACACAATGGACGCAAGTGCTTATCACAGCACAGTCATCTACCAAGAAATTAAATTTTCCTGAATGCCTTTGTTGCAAACTACCACAGGGCACTTGCGTCTTCTCTGTTGCACTATCGTCTCTCAGACGTCCAACCCCAGAGTTTGCTATATACTCAGAGGACAGAACAATAGGGTCCTTCCTCTGATGATGAAAACCAGCCCAACCACCACCCTCTCCTCTGGGAGAGGAGCCCCTGTCCTGGGATTCCCAGATGTCCCCATTCTGTGATCAGGACTGAACACAGGCAACTCAACATGGTGTTTGGGCTGAGCTTGGTTTACTTTCTTGCTATTTTAAGTGTAATACATGGAGAATAAGAGACACGGAGCATATGAGAAAATATGTGTGAGAGAATCAGAGGATGTATGTGAGAGTTTTTATACCAGGATGTCTTCCTGCTGCATGTGTCCAGTGTGAGGTGCAGCTGGTGGAGTCTGGTGGAGACATGGTACAGGCTGGGGGGTCCCTGAGACTCTCCTGTGCAGCGTCTGGATTCATCTTCAGGAGCTATGGCATGAGGTGGGTCCCCAAGGCCTCAAGGAGGGGCTGGAGTGGGTATCATGCATTAGCAGTGATGCTACTACAACATCCTACACCGACCGTGAAGGGCCAATTCAGCACCTCCAGAGACAACTCCAAGGACACACTCCATCTGCAAAGGAACAGCCTGAGAGTCTAAGACACAGCCGTGTATTACTGTGTGAGACACTGTGAGGGGAAGTCCATGTGAGATCAGACACAAACCTCCCTGGAAGGAAAGAGGAGGGGGTGGATGACAAGGGGAGCTCAGGACACCAGGGCAGGAACACAAGCCATCAATTCTGTGTTTCCGCCCCAGGAGCAGGTGCAATTTGAAGTTAAGGCCTGGTTTCCTGTCAGAGTCTGCGGCTTCCTGTCCATATAGCAGTTTCCCCTGGGGAAACGCTCCGACTCTGTGATTCTGTGCATTCCTCTTAAGTGGCAGAATTACAACGTTATTGCAAGAGGAGGAAAACATTCTCATGTGCACAAAGGGCAGAGCCTCACAGCCCGTGACTCTTATATTTTCTCCCTAAATGCCAAGTACTTGCCCAAGCTTCTGATGTCAGTCAGTCAGATCTGAAAAAGACTGTTGGACTCACAATGCAGCTCTGCAGAGCACAGCTCAGTGTACAAGTCAGACAGCAAGTCGCTCGATCAGAAGGAATACTGGCTGTGTGGGAAACTATGACAGTGGAGCAGGCGTGCTAGAAGTTCACAGAAGGTAGTTTTGGCAGAAGCGTTTCGTTCAGTGAATGAAAATCCAGATCCAGGGTAAGTGTCTTCAGTAAGAACAAAACACTGCCCCTTCTGTGATGGAAGTGCTTCAATGTAATTACCTGACACCAGGCAGCTGGCTGAACACCCAGGGACTAGAGCCAAACTCAGGACTCAGGGGGTCTCTGCTGTGGGGAGATGGAACGCTCAGCAATGATTCTATGCAGGTAGACCTTGGTGGGTGGATGTCCAGGCTATTGAGCCCATGCATAACCTCCATCTCTGCTACCATGTCACTACAGTTATGAGCACACTGAGTGAAAACAGAGAGAACTGAGGAGACAGACTGGCTGATGTCCACAGTGCTGGGCACATATCCACTAGAATATTAAATCCACATGTGATGGATTCACCCTTTGGTGAGCATTCACATGAGGCACCGTTGAAAACGTCTTCCTCTATTTGAAGAAATGTCTTCACTTTTACTGCCTATTCAGAGAGGTCTATCCACATTTCTCTTCCCCAAATTATCTTCTGACTTATTTTCCAAACATGTTACTTCCACGTCTTTGAATGTTGATCCAAACCATTGATGACAACCCGTGAATCACATATAACCAAAGGTCTGGACATTTGTCCTTCCAGGAAAAGTGTACAACCAGGTTCACGGCCCAGTGGAAGGATTTCCCCTCACTAGTGCCCTTCAGGGATGTCCCAGAGAGGACGATAGGGCTTCAGCTGCCCACTTTCAAATAATGCCTTTATGTCATGAGGA